ATTGGAGAACTCTGGGGCCAAAAGTTGGGAATGTTGGGGTCAAAATTTGAGAACTTCTGGCCCAAAATTTGACAACTGTGGGGCAAATTTTGGGAACTTTGGGACCAAAATTTGGCAACATGGGGAGCAAAATTTGGCAGCTCTGGGGCCAAAATTTGGGAACTTTGGGGCTAAAATTTGGGAACTTTGGGGCCAAAATCTGGCAGCTTTGGGGCCAAAAGTTGGGAACGTTGAGGCCAAAATTGGAGAACTTCAGGGCCAAAATCTGACAACTTTGGAGCCAAAATTTGGGAACTTTGGGGCCAAAATCTGACAACTTTAGGGCCAAAATTTGGGAACTTTGGGGCCAAAATAAGGGCTCTTGGAGCCAAAGAAGCTGTGCTGCTCCCAGGTTCAGGATTAAATCTGCTGTCAGTGAAGGATAAGGATATTCTCCAGATTCTCCAGGAAATCAACCCCTGTTCCAGGCACAAAACCAGCCCCTAAAATTCCAGCCCAGCCCAGCTTTGCTGCAAGTGGAAAAAAATTCCCTCACCTCCAGTGCTGTCAACAGGAAGTCAAATATTCCTCCTTGGTTGGTGGGATCCATCAAGTCCCTGATCAGATGGATCTCAGCTCCCAGGTGCTGGATTCTAGGGAAAGAAAAGGTCCCAGTTAGGACAAAGGGGTTGGAAGGGACCTTAAGGATCATCCAGGGACAGCTCCCACTATCCCAGCCTGCTCCAACCTGGCCTTGGACACTTCCAAGGATGGGGCAGCCACAACTTATTGATGCTCCATTGTAAGAAAACTTCATTTTTCCCTCTTTTATTCCCTTCTGATCCCATTTACAGCCCAGGAAGATCCCTAAAAAAACCTCCCTCATCCAGCACGGCCACGGGATATTCTGACAGGAAAAGAGGAAAAACACCCTCAAGGTGCTCCAGGGATTGGATATTAGGGAAAATTTCTCCATGGAAAAGGTTGCCAAGCATTGGAACAGGCTGCCCAGGGCAGTGGTGGAATCAGAATCCCTGGAATTGTTCAAAAACACGTGGATGTGGCACTTTGGGGACATGGTCAGTGGTGAACATGAGTTGGGATCCCAACCCACAGAAACCCAAACCCAGCTCAGGAAAAGGCCCCTTAAAACCCAAAATCCCAGTTTTTATTTTAACTTCTTTCTTCTGTGAGACCCCATTTCCCAGGACAACCCTGAACTATCCTCTGGGATAAGGGATGGACACTCAGGAAGTCACTTTATATCCTGGGCAACACCATCCCAGCAGAGCTGGCAGATCCCAACCCACAGAAACCCAAAAGCTCAGGAAAAGGCCCCTTAGAACCCAAAATCCCAATTTTTACTTTAAATTTTTTGGCCTGCAGGACCCCATTTCCCAGAATTATCCTCTGGGATAAGAGTTGGACACTTAGGAATTCCCTAATTACTTTACATCC